TCTTCCATCTGGTGCACTTATTGACAGAGGTAGTTCCCCTCTGATTCAACTTATTCTTATTGACCAAGCTAATCTATATCTATTTTTGTGCTCTGTCCTTTAGATAAAAAAAGATATTTCAGACATCTTCGAGCCATCTGAAAAGAAGAAACGCAAATTAAATGTTGATCGACCAAGAAAGCCAGTTATAGACGACGACGATGATGATGAAGAAGATGAAGAAGATGTAGAAGATGATGAAGAAGCAATTGAAGAAAATGATGAGCATGAAGATGATGATGAAGAGGATGAAGAAGCTGCAGATGCTGACACAAACATGGAGGTAGCAGAGGAGATACCTGGGAGCACAGACGTTGGCGACTTTGCTCTCGAGTTAGGATTGTCATGCAATGTTTGTAAACAGATTAGCGTGTCAAAGGGCAACCAACTTGTTGAGTGTCAAGAGTGCCACTCTCTTTATCACCAGGTTTGTACATTCCACATTTCTTTTATTCATTATTAATTATTATTTTCTTATTTCAAGCAAAGATACTAGAAATACAAGATAGAGCACCAGCATAGCAAAAATGAGGCAGAAATTGGTCCAGACGTACGCGGCGCCCTTCTCTTTTTTATAATGTAAGTTTTCTATACTTGGTCCAGACGTACAGGGCGCCCTTCTGTTGCTAGGTATATCCAGACGCACACAAAGCCCTTCTTTTTCCACTAATGGAGGAAAACTTTATCACTAATTAGAGTCCGCTCATACGATTCAGCTCATTTGTGTCTGTCATTTTATTGTTTTAATTTATTTATGCCTACTTGTTTGTATCTTACGGATAATGGCGACAACTTCAACCTCCACAACAGGAGGTTATGTATTCACAATTATGTAACGGTGGCAGGCGTTTTTTAGATCCAGCCGTACACTGCGCCCCATTGTTTGTATTCCCACCATGCATTTCAGTGGAACATTTTATTTTCTGTGGAGAACTCTATCTTGTTTTTCTAATATCTTTGTTTCAAGTAAAATATTGCTTTCTTGCTCTTTGAGAAAAAATACGTAAAATTTTCACTGAGTCTTAGAATCATTTGCAGTTGCTACAATAATCATTAAATTGGCTGCCAGAGATTTAAGGATATGTTAGGAAAATATTGGCTTAGTATTTTTAAATATCAATTAAATTTACAAATTTAAATAACATAACATAAGCACAATTTGTTTTTGTTTTTGTTTTTTTTCAGAAATGTCATAAACCATTTGTGAGTGACGCCGAGATAAATGATCCTCGACTCGTATGGTATTGTAGCCGATGTTTTAAAAGTTTAAAGAAAATGGTAAGAAATGATTGAAGCTATTAACTCACACCTGTGACCTCTAGCTGTCAAGGCGAGCATCATAACCATTAGACCACAGAGGCTTTATGGTTGAACAGATTCAAATACCACCAGAAATAGGTACGGCTAGAAACAAATAGTTGCATATAATATAAATCAAGATAGCCATTAACACAGTGTTAATGGCTATCTTGATTTATATTATATGCAACTATTTGTTAAATATATATAAATCAAGATAGCTGTTAACACTGTTGAATTATACATAATAGTGTGTGTATATATATATATGTATA